CCACTGTGTGTCACTGTGTTCTTCAGGACTCATGGCTTGGCAAGTCAGTGTGTCCTGCTGAGGACTCCGGGGCTTTTAGGGAAAAGCACAGCACAGTGCAGCTCATCAGCTGGAGTTTCCCTGTCACTCAAATGTGGACTGCTGCTGAGAGATGCTGTCAGTGTTATAGATAGACAAGGTTTGTCCCTTTGTGTGTCCTCTCATGAAAGTGACACCACTCAAGGTTTGCTAAAGCCAAGGCACAGGTCCAGGGCTGCTCTCCAGGAAATCAGGATGAGACTCATTGTTTACCAAACACAGTTCAGGGTGTTGGCTCCAGGGGCCCTGTCTTTCCCAACTTCTTATTGCTGTTTTCCTACCAACTGTTATAATGGTCCTATTACTAAAAAAAAACCCAACAAAAATTTTTCTTTTGTTTGAGTACACATCAGAACCTGCTTGTAATACATCTAAGATGCCTGTGCAACATATTTAACTTACATTTTTATGTGTACATTATGAAGAAGAGGTGTTGTCAGAAGCATCACAGACTTACAGGAACACAGATAATTTGTGAAGCCAGGGCTTTGTTTTTTGTTTGAAATGTGATTTCCAATGCAAACCACGGTGACATTGTAGTAAGAAAACTGCCTCTCAAAAGTCTTTGGTTTTGTCATGGAAATAGCTGTGACAAAATCATGGCCTTTATTGTTCTTCCTCTCATACACATATGCAAAGTGTATTTTTTTTTCAGTCCTGACAATGCAGAGTGCAGAAAATGCAATGAGGAACAACACAATACATGTCTTCTCCCAGACAACATCAGGAGTTGAGGCTGTATTCTAAAGACAAACACACTGAAGCTGTAGTCAAAGATTTGTGATAAAAGTTCTCCAAATGTCTTAAGTTGCTTGTCTCCTCCCTAAGCAGAAAATCAATTAAATTTATGTTCAAAATTGCTAAGCATTTAACATTGCAATTCTTAATAGCTAAAATGTATGGACTGCTCATCTCGTATTTTAAAGGGGTAATTTTTTCAAGCCCAGAATGATCAGAATGATGCCCTATTCCATTATGGCAGGGCTTAATTTTTTTGAGCCAGGTGGGTTCCAACCAGCTCAGTGAGAAGAGGTACCTGCTGAGCAAAGCCTGTGGGATGAGCGTATCCATTTGCACTCATCTCTCTCTTCTGCAGGCTAATCCAGACAGATCACAGTGGGAGAGAGAAGCAGGAGGAGGATTAGGAGAGTACCTGAGTCCATGACATTTTTGCGTGTAAATGTATTCTAAAGTCTTACTATAGAAATTATAAAATGCAATTATGGTATATAAAAAAATGCCAAACCCCAAACAAACAACCTAGGGATTTAAAAGCACAAACCAAAATTTGCTATTTGCTATTGTTGAGATTTAATAGGATTCACATTTCATATCTTAACAGCACTCTTCCCTTTTAGTGCAGTATCTACTTACATTGCTCAGCCAGGCTTGTTGCCATCTAGAGAATCATACAAAACTCAATATCCAAACCACCTTATTTCTTCTCCTCATTCAGATATCCATCTACTTGCAGCAGCCAAGTGAACTGATTTTTTCTTTTTCGATGACCTTCTGTCCTCAGATCTCAGTCTACCACCCTGGGCTTCCCTGCCTGTCCCCAGAATGGGAACATTCTGCCACCTACCTCTTGATGACCTGCAGCTCTAACCTGTAAGTGATGGCTGTCAAACCAGGGACTTGGCTGCCAAAAACAGGGACTTTGAATCTGTGCAGCCCGAGCCCCAGCTTTGCCTCCAAACACTTGCTCAATATAGAGCATTACCTTTTTCAGGCCAGCTTCAGGATGAGAGTCTACACTGACTTTGCTGAGCAGCCCATTGATCCCACCTTCAATGGTGAAATCCTGCCCAAATCACCAAGTGCTCTCAGGATTTCTCACATATTTTTTCAGAGGATGACAACACTGGCCTCCAGAAAGTGCCAAAAAAGAAGATTGAATAATAAGAGAAGTCCTAAATCTGCTCTGATAAGGAATAAAGGTGGTTTTCAGCAACAGGTGCTAGCTAGTCTTTCATTCTGGAGGCATCTGTAGCAAGGCAGTAACATCTCTCACCCAAACCTGAAGGCACAATGTCTCATACTCCTGCATGATGGATGAGAGGATGATAACAGGGAAGGGAAGCAGACTTTGCTCAAAGCTATTAAGCCTCTCTGTGAAGCAGGCTGGGCTGTGTGGAGACCGAAGACATTAGCTGTCATTTTGTATGAAAATTATATGTCCTCAGCAGCTTAATAAAACTTCAGCAGGTTACAGTGATTTACATATAACAAAGTAAAAACTGGGGAACAGGGGGTGAGTGAGCAATGGGATGCCTCCCAAGAGACCATGGAGGAGCCTGGTGGTTCAGATACTCAGGACAGGAAGGGATGAGGGGAAAATGCATACCTTGGGGTACTGTATGGTCATGGAGATTCCCTCTCTGCAGAGGAGGATGTAAAGGGAAAAGGGTAGTGGGGAAGGATGGTCCAAGCCTGGTCATTTTCCAGGCACTGAGGCACAACACAGGTGTGGTCTTGCCAGGTTGTCCTGTTTTGGGTATTTCCCTGTGAGCTTGGGTCAGTGAGTTAAGAGGCTGTACACCATTGCCACTGGTGTATATCCATGTCTCCCTGGGGTGTACAGTGGAGGGCAGCACACCAGGGGCAGGTGACTGGGAAGAGGCAGGAAGTGGGAGAAAGGGGGGACTTCTCCTCCTCACGGTACCCACATGGACACATCAGTGTTGTGACCTGAGTGATACCCCATCACCCTGGGGTGGCACAGCCACCTCAAAAACTGTCTGAACTAGGAGGGATGCCACAGGTCACAGTCCTGATCCCCTCTGTATTGCAGGAACAGGCGATATCCCAATGCCGTTGTCTCTGGCACCACAAACCCCTGGGTGAAATCCAGTTATTTCAGCCTTACCAAAGCTGTGATACATATATTCACAACCCCTTGCACTAACTTGTGTGCTAATCTGTGAGGCTTCTCCTGCCCTGATTATTCATGAGGCAGTAATTCAGATACCCCATAGACACTGAGCTGCAGACTTTCTAAAAAGGCTTTTCATTTTCTCTCAGAAGATTTTAAAAGGACTTCAGATAGACTAGAGACTTGTCATTTGTTTTATGATTTATGTAAGTAATTGTGGAGCATGATGGAATAATGTGAAGTGGGTAGGAATGTCATAAACCTACCAGCAGTTATATTGGAAGAGAAAAGCCCTGTTATTTCCAAAGAGCCAGCCAGAAACATGGGATATTTCTCGATATCACTGTATTCACTAATTAGACTAGAAAGATTATGTTTAATTAATGTCATTCTTTTTAAGATTGCCCACAGAATCTCTAGTCATGCTTAACTTTCTCGTTCTTGCTATTGCTTTCTCTCTTGCTTTTGTTCCAGTGATTCCTGGTGTTTCAGAGCACTTTACCTGTCAAGCCACAAGCAGCTGCTTATCCTCACAGATCTTCAGGATGGTCAGCAGCTTTTTCTGCAAACTGGAATATCCTTGACTTGAAAGGCAAATACCATCCCCTGGCATCAAAGTGACAGATTAGTGGCCAGAGTTTTCTGGTGCATAATTAACAAAAAAATTACAGCTGTCACAAGAAAAAGAACATCATTTTTACTTGCTGGTTGTCAACATTGCTCATTCATTTACAACTTCCAATTGCTTCATCAAGGAGAAATAGCTTTTAAGGAAGCAGCAACCTTCCCCTTATCCCTGCAAAGCTACTTTGAAAACAAACAAGGATTTTTCAGTTGTGGCTTAGTCTTCTCCAATAATCATTGTGACTCTTGTGCTTTACCTTCAAAACACTTCTTGCACGTTCTCCTCCTTCCACCCCCAAACCAAAATTAGTGCAGCAATTCAGCAATGTGTTGCAGGAGGATTTTCAAGCAAACAGGGTGGTCACCACAGACAATTTTAGGCATTCAGACTTGGGGATTATACTTAACTCATGAAAAAGGCTGGCAGTGAGGGTTTTTTTTGATAGCTGGGAAGGCAGCTATCACTAACATGACTATTCCTGCTCCACACTGGCACTGGACACCCCTTGCTCTGACTGTGGCACCAGAGAGCCATCAGAGAACAGCACTGTTCAGTCACTGCCCATTTGGTCATTTTTGTAACGATGACCCACAGTGGACATTTTGACCTCAGGTCAATAGCCACAGCCCTACCTGATATGGGAGAAATTAGACCTAAATTGGCTGTGATTTGGGAGACAGGGAGTTTGCTCTTATCCAACAGCTGAATTAAACTTCCTAGAAAGCCTGCTGTGACACAGCAGGAAGGATGTGAAGGGCTTATTTCTTGATAGAGCTAACCAGGAAGGCTTCTAGGGAGCCCAGATGGTGCTCTTCAACAAATGAGCCTCAGAAAACCTCAGCTAAGGAAACAGAATGGGAATGAGCCGGTTCAGCAATGGGATAACTAGTCAGAGCAGTTCTGGGGCTCCAGAGAAAGCATGTGGCCAAACAGATGGTCCTAGGCAAAGTAGCTTGAGAGGTTTCCACCTCTCAGAAGCGTGAATTCTTGGCTGCATTTACTTCAGTTTTACAAAAGCCCTGGTTATTGGTCTCTGTGTGTAATGCAGATGGTAAGTAAGCTTAGATTAATGTTGGACATGTCATATTTCTGGTGTTCCATTTAGCTGGCTGGTTTTCACTCCCAAGAGTAAGAAAACAACAAGCCATAGTGCCTCAGAGAAACTGAGAAGATACAATCTGTGTGAGTAGATGTTTTGTGGAGTTCAGGGAGGGAATTTAGAAAGCTTCCCACGATCTGACCCAGTGTTCACAGGAGTCCATGGAGCACAGCATAATATTTGGTTTTGCTGTGATTTATTTAATATAAGGAAGCTTTTTTTCTTCCCTTATGAATAAAGGAGGAATTCAGGGGCTTTTATGTCCCCCAGTTAAATGAATCTGAGAAGTACTATCATAAAAAAAACATTATGAAGCACTCGAGCAGCTTGTAAATACTGAGGGTTTTATTTCCACTTCACATGGTCTCAAACAGACTCTTAAACAAGACCAGTTACAATTTAGTATGCCCAGAGATTTTCCATGGTTTTTCCAAAACGAAGGAAGTTCTCAGTAAACGCTGTACATAGCCAGTTGAACTGCTGACAATAATTTAAAAACTCTTTTTTGTATAGTCAATGCAAGAATACCAACAATAAAAGTACAGTACAGGTAAATTCACAACAATATTACAGTGAAACAGATTGACTCACATTTATGTGATGGTACAGTAGCAGTATGTACATGCACTAAAGTGCGAGGACCCAGAGGCATGCAAGTCAAGTATTGTAGGTGTATTTTACAGCTAACTCTGTAAGACTTTCTGAGGCATTCTTTTCTTTTTTTTTTTACACATTTACCTGTGTTTACCTGTATTCCCCTCCATCTCAATTAATTACAAGTCTAGTGAACGAGCTTAATGGCTTTCTTCACTACTTAAAAGGTATCGCTTCAGACAGTTGAAGCATCTTTAAGAATTTTACCTTTAAAAACCAATAACACTGACATTAAAATAGAATAAAATTAACTTAATACCCTAGTTTTACATGAAATAAAAATTAAAAAAAAAAAACCTAACCCAAAATACCCAAAACTAAAACTGAAAACGTAACAGTGCAAATATAACCAAAAGGCAGTCAATATTTGGAGAGAGCACGAGCAAGTATTCAAATTCCCTTAAAACTTAATTTACATTTTATTTTAAATCTTACTTTTATATCATTTTAACCCTTTTTTTTTTGTTGTTTTTGTTAATATACTGTATGTAGAAAAGATGGAGACAAAAATAGTTCTCTCAGCTATGAAAAAAATTAAGTTATTACAGGCACATAAACTGTTTCATTCTAGAAACACCTCTGTTTCCCAGGTTGCACATTCAGCAGCTGTGTCTGAGAACATTCTTTGACCTCTCCAAGCGGACCTCGCTCCTTCGTGGCAGAGACGGCTGGCGGGCGACCTGGCGGAGGCCAGCGCAGTCAGGCTGGCTCGCCGCCCTGGCTGGGGGTCTCTGCCAGCAGCTCCTTGCTTCCACACCCCTCTGAGGAAGTCAGGTCTCCGGTGGACTGCGGCTGTGAGGCAGCAGGGGAATGTGAGGCCCATCGTGACGGTGGGCGCCGGTTCGCTGGTCTCTCTGGCCGGGAGAAGCAGGGTTGGAGGGACGGGGCTAATGCAGAACAAGGCAGTTCCTTGGCAGCCAAGAGAGCAAAATAGAGGTTAGTGACTTGCCTTAGAGACCGTCGGGATGCGCGGAGGATTAAGAAACAATCCGCCAAACTAAAGCTAAGCGTGTGTCAGGGCGTGGGGCAAAAGCAAGCAGCGAACACCTGGCTGCGTGAGGGCTCCAGGTATCGCATCCGAGTCCGTGATTTATGGAACAGGTAAGGAGACAATGAAAGAAAGAGGGCGAGCTGGAGTAGCTGACACGCTTTCAATTGCTATTTCTCCTTGTGCTAGAAAAAGAAGAGCTGAACGGTACATTTGCATAACAATTCAGGATAATCCACTATTCAACACTTTAAGTGCTGACCTAGCATAAAAAGACTAGGTTTGGCATTTGCAAGACAGGTGAAAAAATCAACCACCGTCTCCTTTTTTCCTCCTTCAGAATTCAGACTTGACATGCAGGAGACTTCTTAGCACAGAATAATGACTACAGGGGTAGTTATGATCTCCAGCTGGGTTAAAGATGAGGCTTACCTACAGACTTCATTTTCTGGAACACTACTTCTAATTGCCAGCTGCTGAAGCCTGAACTGCAGGATTCAGAGGTACTCTATGTTAAAGGCAACATTCACAGAAATTGAAGAAATTGGAAATTTTATTCCTTCACCAAGTTTCCACTGTTCTGGCTTGGTTATCTTGCCTTTGCAATTAGAAACAATCTGTGGTTGCGATTTTTCACCCTGGCACTAAGTTGGTAATGATTTTAATATTCACAGACTTTGCTCAAAGTACAGTTGCACTTTTTGCTTTACTCTGAATGCTCTCTACATCAAGATGAGTGACTGTGAAAGCAAGTCTGTATCATAGGGCCAGAGCCAAACTTCTGAATTTCACTGCAAAATTTGAAATTTATAAAAGCAAGTCAGAGTAGTTCTCCAGCATCTAGCAATGTGTACACTAAACAGCAGTCACTGGAATGTACAGGGAAGCTCAATAAAAACCAAAGTCAGAATGCAAATAAAGTGATAAATGAAGAGAGAGACCAGAAATTATACAATGCAAAGGAAAAGCTGTGGCACAGTAAAATGCAGGGATACCAGGGCAGCAGGGAGGCCAGGATTCAGCACAGTTTCCCATGGAGAAAGAGAATAGTGACTAAGGTGGAGAATATTGGAGTAGGTAACATGATGTGATTGACAGTGAACAAACAAGGTGATACGACATTAAACTTCTCAGTTCCAGTAGAAGACCAAACAAGAATGTCATAGGACAGAAAGACCAATTTTGAAGACATAGAGTTGAGGTATGAGAAATGGAGCTGCTGACACCTGTTTTGGAGAGAGTGCATTGCTGGACTTGGGGAAGCCTCAGTGAAGGGTCAGTCCAGGGGTTTTGGGCAGCATGCAGCCAATGGGGTGATCTACAGCTGCACAACAGTGCTTGAGAAAGAGCTATGGCCAGCTGCCCTCAGCACTTGCAGAGCACCTCATCCTGCACCCCCTCCTCTCTGCATCCTCACCCCCCACCCCATCCCTGTGCCATAAACTTTACAAACCCTTGCTAAAACAGCAGTAAGGCTTAAATAGAAATTGGTGCTAACAAAAAGATTGAGTGTGTGTCCTTACTTCACCTTATCCCATTGTGCCTGGGGCAGCATATGGTCTGTGAAAGCTGCCACTAGACTCAGATTTGTTAAGAGAAACCCATCTGCGCAGCAACAGTCATGGGCAGCACAACACAGTGAAATGAGGCTATGAGATTTGCGGGTTTTGTCTTAGCCTCTTTCAAAAACGAGGCTTAAAATGATATCTTTATAGTGCTGCTTGCTCCTGGCTGCTTTATCCTAGTTTCAGAGCAGTAAATCAGAGTTAGCACAGAGATAACAAAATTTATTTCCACTGCTGCCTCCCCGTTCAAAAGCCTCTTTCCAGCACACCTGCAGATGTTGGTCAGCTTTTACCAAGCAGCAAGGTTAAGCTCATCTTATCTGTGATGTACACGTGTCCAGCAGCACACAAGGCTGTGCTAGTGATGGATATTGCTTCAGGGCCAAAAGTGACTGGCAGCAAAATCTTAGAAAGTGCTGGCTGCTGAGCCAGTCACCCCACCCTGCAGCATGGAAATCCAGCCATGACAAGGAAACTCTGCAGAATGGTTTGTGAAAACCCCTCCTCCCTTACTACATGTAGCTGTCATAGCTAGAAATGTTGGTTTTTTTTTTTTTTTTTTTTTTTTTTAAAACTTTTTTTTTTTTTTTTTTTTTTTTTTTTTTATTAAATAACCTGTGAGTAATTTAGTTTGGTAGTTGCTCAGAGGTGTAGGTGGATAGGCAGCATTTCTTAGCCTGAACACTGAAAATGGGAAAGATTATTTCAGCTTCAGTTTCTAGCTATTTCCTAAAACAGGCTGTCAGCCACCATGGCTATGTCTATATTAATAAACAAAGAAAACAGTTTTCTCTTCTCTCTGAAGCAGAATGGATGGTCACAGCTTATATCTGCACAGTATGTTCCCTCTACTGTGGCAACTGCAGCCACTGGACAGAACTGGGCCCAGAAGTGCTTAATGAGCAAAGGTGACTTTAGCCTCTAGCCCCAGGCTGGTGCTGAAGCTCCTTCCCAGCCCTCTCCACCTGCTGCTGTAGCCAGAACTAGAGGGAAGGCATCCTGGGGCATCCAGAAGCCTTGTGCAGTGCTGTGCATTTGTCAGGAAAAAAAAAAAAAGTTTGTCATGAATCTGAAATCTGGATCCCTCCCCAGCATTTTTGCATACCTTTGTGCCAGTCTTAAATTTTGCCACTTTAAAAAAGCTTAACAAAAAACCCCAACAGCACAAATTTTGACTTAATGTGACCTCTTCTCAGCCTGTGCTGCTGCAGGACACGGCAGATGAGCTCCTGTCCTGAGCTCTTCCTGATTGTGACATACAAAGAATCCCACAGGGATGTCAGGTGCGTGTCGATACCTCTGGAGTTGTGGTCATTTATTTCCCTCTGTTAACCCACATGTTCAAGAATGACCGCCTTCGGAAAGCTCTGGAAACAAGGTAGAAAGGACTTACAGCAGTGAGGCAGGCAGGGTTAGAGTCCCCAGGGGGTAGTTAATAAGACAGTTTGGTTCTGGACAGAACAGACAGAAAAGAAAAAGAAAGCAAGTAGGTTGGAAAGAACTGTTTTAATTGATTATTTTTTTTAAGTGAAGATTTCATGTCTGCAAGGAAGAAGTCTCCCAATGTTACTACTCATTCAGATCATGTTACCAGTATTATCACAGGGAAACTAATAATCAAAAATAAAAGCCAAGCCACTGGAAGAAAAAGACTTAGAAAGAAAGGAAGCAAACAAACCAACCTTTTACAATCCTAGCACAGTTTCAGAAGTGGATATAACAATAAACAAACCAAACATTTCTACTCAGCAGAGAAAGATACCTGTTTTTCTTTGCCAACCTTGACTGGGGCTAGGGAAAAACCACATTACTATGAGAGGAATAAAGCTGTGGTTTTTTTCCTTTCATTTGATTTCAAGAGAGAGTTTCTGCTTAGGAAATCTTTAATAAGCAAGAAAATGGCTGTTAATGTTTGTTGCTTACACTTCTATTGCTCAGGTTTCATGACAACTCTTAGCCTCATCTTTCTCTGTTGTTTCTCTTCAGCAGTGACGCTGGATGAGAAACTCAAGCTTAACCAAAAGCCCTTTAATTCTGTCAACACCTTCCCTGATTTTCAACATTGCCCCTCCCATGCTGAATGGTTCAGTGACAAGCCTGTGGCAATTGCTTGGCCCTGATGAGCAGAGGGTGCAGCACCTGCTCTCTCATCTGTGGGTCTGTGTGGATGGTCCTTTCACAGTGTTGTCTCCAGAAATGAGTCTGACTCCCAGTCCAGGACTGTTGTGTAACCTCCATGATCTACACCCTTGCTAGTCATAAAAGCAAAAATGTTCCTGAGGCTTTTACATTGTTAATTAGGTAATGCTAATCTGCATTTTTAATAGTAAAATGTATAAATCCTATGATACACACCTAAGATAGGAGTTTAGTGAATTAGCAAGGTAAGACACTAGTAGGCCACACTATGTGGATATGAATTTGCCTGTAAGCAGCTCTGGGCAAGTCAGAAAACACAAAGTTATTGCTGCTCTGTATGCATATACACTCACATGCACACACACATGTACATAAACAGATAAATATGTGAACTAGATTTCATATTTGCAGCAGGAATAAATAAGGAAATTATGTAACTAAACAACTCAGAAGCTCAAATTGAGGAAAAGTCACCAACAGGTGCTGCATGCAAGTTTAAAAGTCATTAATATGCTATGGCTGCAGAACCCAGAAGGCGTTTGGTGGTAAGAAGGGCACTTGACTTGGCCAGAAACCAGCAGGTCAGAGGGAAGCAGAGCAGGAATCTACAAGAGGGTGGAAGCATTGTGTCAGCGCTGCCCCAAGCACAAACCTGCCTCCTTCAAGATCATAATTCCCTGAACAGCTGTGTCTGGCTTTGTACAAAATGTGCTAAGAGACTTTGTACAAAGTGTAATTTGTGCGGTCAGGGTAATCCACAAATAACTCAAGGCACCTGCAGAGTCTAAACTTATTTGTGGATGTTTTTTTTTTCAGCAGCAAACCCACGCTTCCCTTGAGTACATCTTCCAGAGCACCATCTCAGTTAGGAAAAGCTAAGCTCATTGTGGAAATGCCCACCAGTTTCCTTTTCAATCCACATTCCTGAGAAATGCTAGGAGCAGCCAAAGAACAAAACCTGTGCATGTAGACTACAGTTATAACAACATGTAGGAGTTGCAAGGAGAAACAAGTCTTAGCTCTAGGGCTCATAACTCAAAAAATTAGACAAAAGATACTGAGAATTCACAAAAAGGAGCAATTTTCTGCCATTTTAAGGGTCAATTATATTTTGATAAATAGCTTTTACCCAAATCTCTCTGTGCATCAAATTCAGGTACTGCTGCTATTTTGTGTTTTGCCAACAGGATGGATGACATGCATCTATTTATATTTGAAATCTACTGAGGCAGTTAAAAGATACAGGAGGAAATCAAGAGTTTCCAGAGTTAACTTGAAAGCAAAGCTGAATTGAACTTGTTAAGAGTACAACACACTTCCTAATACAGACCAGTAGTGTATTCCCAGTATTTCAAACTAAGGACAAAATACAGAGAGAGCTGGAAGATGTCAAATAAATGAGGCTGCTTCCCACCTTTATTCACTCTGAGGTTTGTGCACAAAGACCACTTTCACTAACTAGTATTTATAATGTGCATGTGGTTTCCTTCTTTTCCTTTTTTAATTGGAAAACTTCCCTGCTTATATCTGTTTAAACTGCACATAGGGAATAAATCCTTAGGTTTGGATTGTCTGTTTGGGAAAAAAGATCACATCATCTGAGCAATACCTATAAAAAAGGAACTGAGAACCACCCACTTGGTGAACCAAAGATTTCAGGATATTCCTGGATATCCTTCATGCCACATGTTGAGTTAGAAAGCGAGGTTTGAACCTTCCCTTCTGAGGTGTCTGAGGCAGGGGTAGTAGGAGTCTGCCCAGCAAAGGCAAGGTGGATGTATGGGGTGTGCAGGCGTTAAGGAGCTGCTTCCCTGGAGCCAAGGCTCACCACAAGATTAGGATGCTGAAGGGGCAGCACAGGGCAGAGAGGATGAGGAGTGCTTGCCTCTGCACTGGGGACTGTCACCAACCAGCAATACACACCCCTTTTCATGGCTGTACCAGAAAGGCAACATATGCATGTAAGAGCTGGGCATAATTCAGCTTTTCTGGATTTCTTAAGAGTAAGACTTTCAAGTGCTCTCAAAGGTTCACCAGAAATAGGAGATTTAAATACTGGTAACTGAAAGTTTTCATCCATCATTACACCTTCAATTTTTGTTGATTGCTGTTGTACCTGAGACTGACCCTCAACATCTGGGCACACTTGCTGCAACAGATGATGACTTGACAAAATACCAGCAAGGAGTTCTTAAACACTAAATAGGTATGTGTCTAGATTAGTTGATTACATGTGTATTTTTTGCTTTTTGTTATTTTTGTGAGGCAGCAGCAGTCAGTACCAAACATCATGCCATTCAATCACATTCACAGACCTGAGCCAAACTTAATCAGATACATTCAGGGAAGAAATGCTGAAGGCCCTGAAGGTTTGCTCCAGGGCACTGTAAAGACTATTTTTCACAAAAACTTGTTAAGACCCATTCTTGTGTAGGAGAAAGAATCTACCTTTCCATCCAGCATAAAAATTTATTCAAACCCAGTGTCCCTAGAGCATCTGTAACCTGTGGTGTATTTTGTGACAGACAACCTTATCCCAGCTGTTCAGGGAAAAAACATTTTTTATCCCATAAAGATAAAACTCTTCTGATGCTTTCAAGCCAAATAAGCTGCCAGGATAGAAATTCAATTCTTTCATGCATTCTTCAGTGACTAATCCAAAGTTTCATGACTGGAAATTGCTGGTGGTACCAGGACAGGACTAGGATATTCACTGTAAATACTCAGTAGGACTGCAAGAGATCTCATAATACATTTGCTCAAAGAAGAGTGCACTTAGCTATAGGAGGAAAAACAAGCAAATTCATTACCTCTATGGACCCTGGATCTACTTTGACAATTTCTCCTGTGCTGTTGTCATTGCTAAGATTTGGTGGGCTGTGTGAACGTAGCCTTCTCTCTTCCTTTAAGGCATGCTCCAGAAGTTTCTTATTCAATATCCTGGCAGCATTTTCTGCAAGTGTGTACCCTGGAGGAGCAGATAAGTCCTGCCTAATACTTGTCACCTCAGATCCTTCTTCCTTTTGTGTCTCTGTCCCCAGACGGAGAGGACTGGGTGATCTGCCACGGGCATTTGTACATGGCTCCTGCAATGTGCCCAGTTCTGCTCTGGGTTCTGCTGACCTGGACCGGCTGCCAGATCTGGAGCATTTTTGGAAGGTCTCGTGAAAGGTGGGGCTATGGTCAATGATGTTGAACAAACTGGACAGGCCATCATTGATAGTGGTGTGGACAGGACTCTCCCGTGTGGTAGTCGATCGAGCCCAAGCGGACTCACTGAATCCTTTCTGAGGCGTGCCAGGCAAAGTCCGGTTATTTGGCTGGTCTGATTTGGGAAGGACTTTTCTTTGCAGCTTTGGAGAGCCGTATTTGGGGGAGCAGCATGTGCGTTCAAACTTAGCCTGGACCTTTTCAATGACGGGGGTTACCTGCCTGCTTCTTAGGCTTCTGGATGGTGACGAGACAGGCGTGGACCCCCCCTTTGGTGTCAGACACTTGTGTGGACTGCTGGTGATACTGCGCAGGGTTTCCGTCTGCAAGCCGACGCTGATGGTCTGGGTGGTCTGCGTCCCTGTCGTTCTCATGCCGTTGGTTTGGCACGCCGTGTCCTTAAACTGAGGCTCTGTGGAGTTGGAGCGTATTGCGTTCCGGACAGAGAAAGCGACCTCCTTCATGTCATCACTCATGTTCTTGGACATCTCCAAGCTGTGCAAGGGTGAGGCAAAGCCCACAGTAGTGCAAATAGGACGTTCAATGGGATGAAGACCATTCTCCAGAAAATCTTTATGGTGTTTGGCCAGGTCACACGACCACCTTCCAAACATATCCGAGGAAGCACCTTTTGTCTCAGTGACGTTCCCCATAGCTTTGGTCACAGAAAACAGGAAGTCTGGCTCAGCCTGGCTTTTCCCTTCATTGCCAGCTATCACTGAGTTATCGAACCTACGGACAACCGGTGGGCTGTGAAATACCCGCACTCCCATTTTGTCATTTACACTGTGACTCCTCGTTGGCTGCTTCTGGCAGTGCTCTGGGCTGGTCATGGTGTTGGTGGTCATAGTGACACTGGTGGTGAGGTACCATGAGGATGCCTGGAATGGATCTGAAGCAGGATCATTCCCGGCTTTTCCAATTTCTGTCCTTTCTGCCCAACTCTCTGCAGGCTTCTCAGTTGCCCCACCATGGTTCTTAGCGTTACTGTAATCCCAGTTTTTGTTGAACTCCTCAATGTATTTCAGATCATCAGGAGACAAGGGAGGTGTTATATCATCTTTGCTGCCAGATGAAGGTAAATTTTTTTCTGGTAGAAATGGAGAAATATCCATCAGGCGCTGAAATTCGGACATGGAAGAAACAGACATTGCCCTGGAGAGAGGAACACAAGAGAGTCACTCCTGTGCCTGAAATTGTTGCACAGTAACTTCTTTTCACCAGCAAAACTCTGGAAACCCAACTTTCATCATCCTGACATATAAAACCCTTCAATCATTGAATCATAGACTGTCCTGAGTTGGAAGGGACCCACAAGGATCATCGAAGTCTAACTTTTGGTCCTGCATACCTCGAAAAAGACACCGTGTGCCTGAGAGAATTGTCCAAACACACCCTAAACTCTGGCAGGCTTGATACCATGGCCACTTCCCTAAGGAGCCTGTTCCAGTGCTCAAGTACCCTCTGAGCAAAAAACGTTTTCCTACTCTCCTTCCTTTAGCCCTTTCTTTAAGTCCCCTTTTACTTATCTTTGATATAGCTGTGAATGCAAACATCTGTGATATGCCATTAAAAGTACCAAATGGTTTATTAGAGGTTCTTAATTTACTGATTTCCCATGGATTACTGCTAGGCAAATATCTGTAGTGTGATAGGAGTAGGATGTATCTCAGAATTATACCATTCACAGGAAATGAGTGTTTGTGACAATAAGAGGCACACTTTTCAAAGCAAGTGTAGAGTATTTCTGACCTGCTGGGAAATCATCAAGTCCATGCTCACTCCTGAGACTGCCCATATTGTACAGCTGGAGTGCAGTGATGTGGGACATCCAGCAAAAATACTGCAACATTGAACTGGCTTGGTGAGTTGAGCTCATGATGAAATTTAACCAAGGGAATCTCTCTAAGTGATAATGCTGAATGGCTCTCTCGCATTTTACTAATTTGTACAAATCACAGGCATTCAGATGAGTTATTCTACCGCTTTATTTTAAGGAAAAAAATTTGAATGGGACTAAATGAAAATGCAAATAAGTGTAGCTGGTTCAATGAGGTAACTCATTGAGAAGTCAGTGATCCAAAGGATAGAGCCAAATCACACTGAGTTTTTAATCAAGAGGTCCTGCTGTAGTTAGGGTGTGTCTCTGTTAGGGATTCAGGTGAGTATGGTTTCTAAATGGATATCCTAGTAAGATGCTCTGGTTTGCATCAGGAGAGCAATCTCAGAGAGCAGAGGCTTCATTCCTTTGGGATGAAAATGAGCTGAAGATGTTCTCCAGAAGCACAACTAATGCATTCTAGGGTTTGGTGGGTATTCAGCCCACGGGATAAGACCAGAACCAGTCCAAAGCAAAATATCCCTGACATGCAGCAGCATATCATGTCCTCAGCACCAAGTGTTTTCCTTTACATATGGATGTCTGCAGTGTGTACTGCATTGCTTGCAGGAGTAGATTTAACTGTAAGGTGCAGCTTCACACACTTTCATAGTTTGTTCTTTGTGCACAGCAGCTGAATGTGGCCCAAGTTAACCAGAGTAGAGCTGAAGCATATTGAGACAAATGAATCCCTGGGTGCATCCTTTAATCTAGCTTGCAGGCTGTTTAGGAGGTGGCAAGGCTATGTCCTGGCCTGTGGCTTGGGTGCAGAGAGTCATACCTCCAGCAGCTGAGTATTTGCTGGGCTTTCTCTTGCAAGTTTTACTCACCTTTGAAGATTTCCTTTGTGTGTTTCTTCCTCCTGAATGAAAACAGAAACAAGCAGGATAAGTTATTTCTAAAGGTGTTGGTAGCATTAGCTTATGGGTATTGTGGCATTCTCTTCCCATTAGTTCCACCAGGTATGTTTGTCTCTAAAAAGTGTCTGATTTTCTCTCTGATATAGATTTTAAAGTGCCAGTGGGGATATTCTTCACTTTATACATAGGCAGGAGAGTGGGCAATCCCATCAAGATAACACACTGCACAGGTAAAGCCTATATGTCAAATCTACAACAGCTTTGAACTTTTATATTCCCATGCAATCACAAATAGATGTAGGCCAAAAAAGACTTTTTTCCCCACAATATATTGTTTCAGACTATATATTTTTGAGTGACCTTTTTTCTGTGGTGGCAACCTACTTTATGCAAGAAGCCTAGCTGTGCTGAAATAAAAGATAAACTGAGTTCCTTTGACATAATATTTCATTATACGTTTTCTAGGAACCAACAAGCGCACCAATTAAAATTCCTTAAGCTTGACATATTAAATGTGTGGGAAGACTGGCTTGTTTTGTAGATGGAATACCTACAGCTTGCTAACAGCATTAAAATGTTTTTATTTCCCAGTTATTTCCTTGTGACAATTCCCATAATGAGTTGGGGTTTTAAATAGCTACTTCTGAAGCATTTGCACTACAGTTATTCTGTTTACTTATATTTCTAAGTAACCTACAGGGAATGCAAAATAGGATCAGGGGAAAAAACAGAGCATTGGTACTGTACGTATTTTATTTGACTTGTGAAATCAAGAACATTACCAAAAGTCCATTTCAGTTTGGGACTGTTTAAAAACAGCACTGCTTAACTAAGCAAATACCTTTCTGGTATTTATCCCGGGTCAGGATAAAAAATAGTAGGAAACTGATCCTCCTTGCATTCACTGTGGTATAATTCTGGAATAACGTTGGTGGCTTCAGTAGAGTTACTGCAGGTCAGTAAATCTGACATAACTGAATGCATAGTCAGGGTGAATGCTGGATTGACTTCTACTGCAGTTAGTACCAGAAAGAAAATAAGTGAAAGGTAGAGTCAGCAAGCTGAAGCTGCCTCTGTGCATTCTTAGTTAAGCTACTCGTTAAACTCCCATCAGTCTCACTTCAGCAAACCCTCTAAGGCAAAATTACTTTGCCCAGGTTTCCCTAAAATATGCTTTGAAGGAAAGAAGCTATGCAGATATCACCAAGGGCAAATTTTGCTGCCCATCCTTTTGTTAATGGTGGTAATATCAGAAAACCAGAAAACGGAAGAGATTTTCTCTGAAAATCAGACTGAATTTGAAGGAATGGGAACAGCAATCAAAATTAAGCACAAAACTTAGTTCCCTGATAGTGTTACCAACATTCTTCACTGAACACTTGGACATGTATGAAAAAAAGGCTAAGAAATAATAAATATGGGATCCCACACTGCCAACAATACACTTACGGCACGGAGGGAAGAAAATCTAACTGGAACACATAGCTACCTACAGCTATGTAAAAAGGACAGTCACATTTCTTGTCTCTGTTAATCCTTTTTTCTCTTCTTCCTCTCAAAGAACTTGATTTCTCAATCCTTTAGTTTTATATCAGCATTTGGGGACAAGGATGCTTGGTTGCACTCAGAAGCAATATAAACAAACTGTGAAGACCTGGAACTGATGAAAATAAGTCTGCCACGGTGGAGGACACAGACTTCATTTGCCATTTCCTGCTGTTGTCTTTTAGCACTGTGTTTTATGTCTTTATAGCTTTATGGTGTGACTTCAGGGTAGGTACTTTGCTGATAAATAACTTTATTATTTTAACATCTCACTTACTCATGCTGATCTGTTTCGAAAGCAACCACGGCAGAACAATCAGAAATGCCTCTCTACAGCACTAACTGCTTTACTAACAAAGGGCTAACAAAGTAAAGCCCATGTTTCTTCATAAATATGTATCTGCTTAAAATTGGAAAAGATTTAAGACCTCCTAAGCCAATACATGGTGTCAAATATAGTTCTCATACATAACATGAATGGCCACAAGATGAAGTAATCTTTGGGACCTTCAGGCTGGCTTCCAGTTTCTCAGGTGACTGACACTGGTCTAATCAGCTTATAAGAAGGAATGAATACTTGTCAATATCAAATTTACTACTGGGTAACTGTAAGCAGTGTCTGTGACACAACATCTCACTTCCTACAGCAGGGGAGCTGTATTGATTCTGACAGAGGAGATAATAGCATGATAAAATGTAGAAGAGCTCATACTTCTGTTAGTCCAGTCAAGAATTTCTCCCGCTCCAGGTGCCGAGAGCGATGCTCATCGGGCTCGTCGGGGGGGTCGAGGGACAGTGATTCCAGGAAGAGGTTTTCCGTGGCGCTGCACCGGTCGCTCTCCTTCAGCTTGGACAACGACCGCTCATCAAACTGGATGGTGTCGGAGTCGGAGTAGGACCTGGACCCCATGGAACGGGGCACGCGGAGGCTCCCCTGCGGCGTAAACGGCCGCCGGCTGCTCTCATTCTGCTCACACATCAAACCACCTCCTCTCCGTGGGCTCGCTTCTTTCTGGAGCTGGAGACAAGGCAGATTAAAAGGAACAGCAATTAGTGTATGGCATTTGGCAGAACTCGTCCTTCCCCAGGAGCGAGGCACCCATGCCCTGGGGATTACAGCCCTGCCCCAAGGGTGCACCTCCAAGGGACGCTGGCCTTGCTCTACTGCTTGTTGCACAAAGAAAGACTTCTCTCAAACTTTGATGCTATTACTCATGGGAGTTTGAGTGACTAAATGTGTATATGCACAATTTTGCTTATTTACATCTATATGTATACATATATACACGCTGAGTATATATGTATATACAAAATAATGCATCTATCTGTAATCTGATTTTTAAAGAAACAAATCAACACAGACTGTTATTTAAAAGCAATCTTGATAGCAGTACAAGTAAAAGCTGATGGAAGGCTGAGAAAATTGCCTTCTCATCAAAACAAAGACATTTTTCTCCTGGTCAGCAACACAAAGCCTATACTTTTATGTATATCACTTGTTTCCAGAGGTGGAAAATTATGCTTAAAAAAACCCAAAAGCTTTGTTTTATAAATGGCCTAGCCTGAATGCATGTCTGGAAAGTTGAGTATTTGTACAGAACAGCATTGTCAAAGGGATGAATTAGGCATGCAGAACATGTTCAAAGAAAATGTATATTTACAGAAGGAGCATCAAAGCCATTAACTCTACATTTTTCAAAAGCTGGTGAATAGAGGGCAAACCATTAGTGAAATTGCCAATATTAAAATTAGATTATGTTATCAATTTCTCTTTTAATTGTAAATGCAACAGTATGGATGAAGTAAGTGATACTTTCAAACATGATAAATGACTGCAGGAATCTGATAAGAACTCTGATGTTTTGCTAGAGCAGCATGTTAAGATTAGTGACAAAAAACTGAATATGCAAGTCATTCACTAGGGCCCTGGAAACTGAGAACCTGCAAAACATATTTATCTTGCTGCTTGTGTTTGGAAAAATAAGCAGATATTGTAGTGCTTAATTTAGACCAAACCATTTAAGGTCCCAAATGATTAAATTTACACTTGAGATGAAAATAGTGAGATTTTTTTTTCTTGATTCAGGTCTACAGAAAGGGAAATGCATCTTCAGTGTTTTGTTCATGATGTACAAAATCTGAAACAGTTTCATTAAATGGAGGTGTTCTGTAAAGGCAAAGGGTGGAAGGTATATATCAAGGGAGCCTGGGTGCCATTCCTGAGTATATGGGCAAGATTCAATAGAAGGAGAAATGGTAATTACATGCTTTCTTTATAGATAGCTCCAATTGCAAGCCCTTCAGAGTTTTAGGGATTCTATAAGGACAATGTTCTAGAAATCTTTATGAGAAAACAGTATCAGTACTTCCTTACTCCCTGAACGTCAGAGAGCTGACAGGAGAATTAAAGTGACAAATATTGTCCTATCTTTTAAATAATGGGTAATAATTTTGAGTCCCCTTGTTTTTATACCTTTAAATACACAATTTTCATACAGGTGATCTTGTGAATTTAAATATTTGTCATTGTGTTCTGTGCACAATTAGCTTTAGGAGCATAGGGGAGGGAGATTCTCTAAGGGGAAATGATGTGACAGAGTACTTAAAAAGAAAAAACAACAACTGTGAGCTCTGAAGAAAGTAGGTCATCATGTTTTTTCTATGCCAGCAGTATTCCCATCACCATCCAGAGTAAAGTACTTTATATATTTTATACATTGGTGTGACTTCCCTCTTATCATACATGTATTATTCAGGAGCTGCGTGAAAGCAGACTGGCATAAAGCATTAGAATGAAATGTGGCACACACGCTTCTGCTATCTCTTGGACTTTGTTTCAAACATACACAGTGGTGTAGTCTCCTCATCCTCTGTGTATGGCCATACATGGAATACACACACCAAAACCCTGGGGAGTAGGACTTCAGAGATATACTAATTGTTTCCATATAAAGCAGGGCATGACTGCAATCTGAGACAATATTCAACTAAAAGCTTGCAAATATTTGGAAGCTTCCTGTCACACAGGGAAATGTTTGATTATAAGCAAAGATGGGGTTATGAAGTTTTGTAGGCAGGTAGCCAAGATTTCAAATGCTATTTCTGGTCATTTAGTCCTCTGAAGTTAGTTTGACATAATATTTTTTATTTCCCCTGTTCATTGCCAATTCTGTGTACAACTCTGTTGGCACAGTAAATATATAGTTAAAGCCCTAGAGGTTTCAGAAACATAACAAAAGAAATGAGTTCCAGCACTAGCTAAGAGCTATTTTTTGTAGGCTCTCCCAGGATGACACTGAGAGGTTATGCCAGGTTTTAAGAGAATGAAAAGCTAGGTAACATTAACAGGGATTTCTCTGTGGCTTCCTTCAATGTGCCCCATTCTCAGGGAATGGAAAAAGCAGTCTTTAACCAGGTTAAGTCCCTCAAGCTATTGAGGATATACCTAAAACCTGGCAATTTATAAAAACATAAAAAATAAAATAAACATCCAAAGAGGTACCAGTGACTTTTCAAAAAAACGTTTCTATGTCCTTAGTATACTGGAAAATTTTCCAAGGGTTATTTAATTGCCATTGTGCATGAAGAATCCATAGGAGGTAGTTTGGCCACTACAATCCAACAGTTAGAAACCAGCTCACTCAAGCCATGGAAAACTAACTAAGGCACTATCTGCCACTGAACCCTGCAAGCCAGAAACTTTGCATGATGAGCTTTGCTATAAGGCTTACAGGCTCTGATGGTCTTATCTTAGGAGATGCACTACTGTGTTGCATTATAAGGGCTAGCTCAAAAAGCTGCATGGAGTACACACTTAACCCCTCAGATATTCAAGAGATTAAAAAATTCAGAATATTGTTTGTTGATATTTTGAAATTTAGAAGCTCAAAAATCACCTTTCTTGGTCTATAAAACCTTCATGTTTGGCACTGTCCACTCAGACCTATACTTCTAGCATTGATTTTAGAAATACCCACATGAGCATGGGATTTTCCTAAGTGCTTCTCTGTGGGTTTAATAGCCACAGCTCAAACCAAGGTTGTCTTGTACTCATAATAATATTTCCAGCCTGGTGTCTTTTCTTTAACTTCTTCGTTCAGCCCTGATGTGGGAACATGAGACACAGACATTGAATCCTTTTCAAAAATTGATCATGAAGGTACACCGGGCTTTCATTGATTTAAACTTGAGAGGCCACTCTGTGCTTTTCTCAAGTATAATGCTCTCTAAAGAGCATGCACAAGTCATCCATTTCTGATGTCCTAAGGACAGAAAGAATTCAGTTAGCTGAGAACCCACAATTTCAGTTGTTTCTCTTGCTTTTCCTGGAACGCATGACTCAGAGCTGAACAATGTTCAGTCAAAAACGGTATTTTAACTTCCCCTCATAAAACTTCATTTTTTATGTGGCTTCCAGGCTGATAATAAATTCATTAGGTATTATTTGTCTCTAATACTAAGCAGATGAAAATACAGATAGGCACGAAAAAAGGGGGTAGGTATGCATTTCCCAGATTTGCAAGTGATAACAAAATTAATGTGACCAATATTCTTCTGAATATCTAGTACTGATACCTGTGTTTGTTATCAGTTAGGGCTCTTCATGTTAACTCCTGTGCTCCTTTTCCAGAGAAAGAGAATTCAATTGAGACTGAACAGATGCAGCATCTGCATCTTTGGTGGCAAATTAATGGATGAACAGTCTCTTCCAGCAAGAAGTTGTGTACCAAAACCTGAGTATCTCTTTGGGTTGAGTGTTTTAGCACAGAGATGCACTAAAGCTTTCAAACAGAATGTGACCATGCTTGTCCAGGGTAATTGAAATGAGGAAATGACCTCTAACCTAGAGCTGATTTCTCATAAGTGGTCTTTTATAGGGATTATGAGCATTTTCCTTTTACTCCCTTGTGTACATAAATTGTTTCGTAACATGAGAAACATTGATGTAGCCAAGGAAGCAAAATCATTCCTGTGCTGCTTCTTAATGCTGTCCCTTGAGTTTGTCCTGAGTGTAGTAATGGTACAATGGCCTCATTCTTTCAGACTGCACTGCTCACCCGAGGTGACTCCTTACCTGACAGCTCCTTACCTGCTCTATCCGCCTGAGCAGCTCCTTCTTTTGATGGTCCCATTCTCGCCGGTCCCTATCAAGCCTGTCCAAGAGCTCCACCTTTTCCCGGTTCCAGTTCTTCTCACTGTGCTGGATTTGCCAGCGGAGGTCCATCACCACACTGTGACTGTCAGCCAGAAGCTTCTTGTGCTCTTCTCTTTCCCTTTTAAAAGCTCCCTTTGCATCCAAACCGAGACCTGTTTCTCCAGAGGTATTCTCACTCTTCCCTTCCAGCTAGCAATAAAGTCAAATGTTACTAGGAATATTCTGCAATAAAAACCTGTGCCTGAAAATGCATTAAAGACCTAACTTTACAAAGGTAATGGCAGAATAATAGCAATTATTACATCTTAAGATCTCAATAAATGATCAAATATTTTTAGAATGGAAAAAGTTTTAACATCAAGACAGTGAAAACTACAGAAAATAACTTCTCAAGCTCTACCAGTACATGCTCTTAAAGCACCAGTTACGATTTTCTGATGGGTATATAGGTACCAGTAATGAAGGAAACATGGAGATAAACTCCAACCTTATCATTATCTCTGAGACAATTTTCAGAACAATGTCCTCGGCTACTGCTCTGATTTTGTGCTCTTGCTCAGTTCACCTGAAACCTAAGGAATGTGAATTCATCTTCTGAGGAGGCTTATCCCACAACAACGCTCAGCAGTGGTGTTATTGTATGACTCTCCTGCCTTCCAACAAGAGAAGGTGTTAGCAGCAACAGCAGCAGGTGCACCAAGATCATCCTCCCATCTCCAAGGTTCTGGATTCTGAACTGATTTCAAGGGCAGTTATCTGATGCCACCTTCCCTCCCTTCTTCAATTTCATGATCGGGGTCAGCTTAAACAGATCAGAAGAGCTGGCCCAAGGCAATAGATTCATAGGAAAACAAAAGCTTCAGGAGGTCTCTAGTTCCACCTTCTGCTTCCAACATGGACTCTGAGATCAGAATGGGTTGTACAGGACTTTGTTCGGATGGATCCTGAAAAACCTCCAAGTGCAGAGATTGTACAACTTCTCTGATCAAGCTGGGCCAGTGCTGGACTGTTGTCAGAGGGAAAAAGTGCTCAATTGTTTTGTGTAACTTCAAGTGAGTGAAGAATTTATCCTTGGAATCTGACCTTGTGTTGACAGTTCAGTAGATGTGTGTGTGACTCAGAATGGGATACATCTTCATCCCCTAGCTCTGCAGGTGAAATGAAGTGAAAACTCATTTCCACCTCTGGAGTTAATGTTGTCCTCAAAAATGAGAGGCAGCAGGTCTGCTGGGAAGCATATTCCTCTAACAAGAGTGAAGGACAACACCTTCACCTTGCCCTTTGTGGAAAATAAGCCCAAACTTTCTGAGCAAAGAAATTTCAGACTGGATTCAGGAGTGATGCTTACTAGTCTCTGGAACAGCCTTCCCAAACAATTGACTGAGAGATTACTGCCTGAGTTACTTAAATTGTACTGAGCTGCAGATAACATCCTGTTACACCCACTTGAAGTGACAGGGAAATCTCAAAAACACCGGCATCTTCTACCGCTAATTTTCAGAGTCCAGTTGTTTTTTTTTTTTTCAAATAACCAAACAACCAAACAAAAAAAAATCCATTTTGAAATAGCAGAATCCTATTTTAACAAAGTCAACATGACATCATCTTTCTCACACCTGTGTACAACATTATATGATATATGATATGATATGATATATTATATTCACCCCAGGCATCCTGAAGCTGGACAATTGGTCAGCATCCTAGTGAGGGACGCCCATATCTTTAATGGGTCCCATGTCCTCAATGCAAATTCTCAAAGCATACACAGGGTTTGGTCCCTAACACTAACTCCCTAACAAATAGCACCCATTGCCCAGTAATTACCAAGTGTTATATATTATTTCCAGCAGAGCAGTGGAGGTAGCAGAGACTGGTAAAAGCCCCAGAAGGAAGGGTGGAAACCCCTGAGCAGGAGTGGCAGCACCATCCTGGTGCCAAACACCAGCCAAAGTGGCAGCCTGGAAGTTTATTGCCCATGCAAAGGCAAAGTAGGAAAGCTTGGCAGTTCTGTGGTCAGACTTTCCCTAAGTATTGTTCTTTGTTGCCATCTCAAGCCTAAGGTAAATCTGTCACCAAGACATTTTAAAAGGAGTCAAAAACAGGAACTGATTTTTTTTCCTTTTTCAAGTGATACATTGTTCAGAAATGCTGGCGTGCTGAGAAGCAGCGAAACTAAGAATTTGAATCTTCTGGGAGAAGACTCTGCTAAAAATGAAAGCTGCCTCCTTCATTCTGGGAAAGCAGCCTGCAGTACCTGGACAGGAAAAGCAGTGCTCACATCTCAGCTCTGTGTCACAGTGAGCCTCTAAATGTACCACCCTTCCAACAGTGAATATTTTTATTATATTTTCCTTCTGAAGAGGAGCTCTATGATTTTTCTCAAGATCAGAATGTACTAATTCTCCCACCCCTTCCTTTTTCAATGTGTAAAGTAAGAGCTTTTATGCCATCAGCTTTGGAAATAAATTCTTGTGGGATTTTTGCTGATTTGTGTTCATGCTGCTTCAGAAACAGTACATCGTCTGTGAGCTGCCATAAATGACACTGGAACACCTGGCACCAGGTTTTACACAAATACTTCTAACAGTATCCCATGGCAGGTAGCGAGAGCTCTCTTCATTGGGGTGCCATCCATCACTAACCAGTAGCTTTGAATGGCTGGTTTAATATCAATATATTATCTATCACTTCGGTGTTGTTGAATCACTCTTTTTTCTGCTATAAATCAAATACTGCAGTTGTTACACACAAAGGCACAGTGATGAACTAATTGTGAGCATGCCAACCACAAGACATTTTTCTCTCCAATAAATATAGACACCCACATGTATCATTACCACAGCTGATACATGACCACCCAACTCTGCTGAGAAAATACAGCAAGAAGTTCAGTTCCCTTGTTCTCACCTACGTCACTGCATGTGGACTGTCCTTTGTGCTGGGACAACTGGAAATCCAAGAGGCAACTCAAGCAGCAAAGCTTTGGTCAGGCTTCAGGTGAGGACTTTCAGACACCAGGATAAAATGCATGAATAAAGCCCCCTTTCTGTCATGAATTTCCTGTTCCATTAAGCACCTCAGCTGTTCTCTACAGGACTTAGGGCACGTTACCTGTTGGAGGCGACACTTGAGCTCAGTGATTTCCACCTCCCAGGCTGCCTTGTGCAGGGCGTACTGCTGCTGCAGCCCCTGGCGCTCCCGCTCCTCGTCCCGCAGCTCCGAGCGGAAGTCATCCAGCAAACCCTTCAGAGCGTTCAGGAGCTTCCGGTTTTCACTCGCCTGACACAACAAAGCAGACAAAATGCTGTCATTAGATGCTGGCTTTACTACCCAGTTTCATTTTTTAGGATGAAAAATGACTGTGTGTCCACTGCATGGAAGAGAAAGTGTGTAGGCTAACTTTTGCACAAGAAAACTAAGAATAGCGATGCCATCTCTGTCTACAGGCTGCTCAGGAAGTGGTTGAGTCACCATCCCTGGAGGTATTTAAAAGATGTGTGGATGTGACACTTTGGGATGTGGTTTGGTGGTGGAATTGGCAGTGTTATGTTTATGGTTGGACTCAGTGATCTTGAAGGTCTTTTCCAACCTGAATGATTCTATGATTCTGCTTCTCGTTAGCCCTAGTGCTGATGCTTCCTGAAAGCCAAAGATTCTTAAGTTACTCTGAAAAAGGCACTGAACATCTTTCTGGACTGAGGACATAATTAATAACCTTTTCTTTTTAATACTGTAAACCAAAGCTAGAGTCTCATTCCTGAGGTTTGTTGGGTAGTTTCGTATCTGTCTCACACATACAGTCATTGCTCCGTATCAAATGCCAAATATTTGTAAACTACATAAAAAGAAAGGGGATAACTTTTCAGTGTTTTTTGTATTCTCAGATAAAATTATTTTGAGAAATGCAGTGAGGCCTTGAGCTGAGTATCTCTGCTAAGGTGTTTCAGTAGTCTGTACTTCATGTTCCTGCTCCACACCAGGCAGTTGCATCCAGGTTAGCTTTGCAGCAGCACCCTTCTTGGTACCAAAGGCTTGAAGGCCAGAGGCCACCTTCCCTCTTGCAGAGGGAATCAAATCCCCATTTGTGTCTTGTCGAGAGTGTCCTGGCCATGCTGAAAATGCTGTCAGAGCTCTTATGATAGCCAGAAGCCAAGAGTGGAGCTAAGTTAAAAGTCGAGCTCAAAGCTGACATCACGTATTCTTACCCAAATCTTAATTTTTTTCCCTTAGTTTTGGCATTTACCTTCTGCACATTCTCTGAGCACTTGCAAAACCTGCCATTTTAATGTTAAATATAAAAAAAAAAATTCTAAATATTCATTCTGGAATGAATGAATGGTTTCCCACAATTTTTTTTTTTTTTGCAGTCAATGAATCAGAAAACAGAAATACATTATTTTTTAAATCCAGAATTTAAATCAAATATCCCTAATGAGCCTCTCAAACACCAGGGAGAAACCAGAGATTGTATCTGATGAGTTATCCTGACTAGAAATACTTTTATGAAAATTATACTTGACTAGTAGACACAGCAAGGGGCAGAAAAATGGGAATGCTTACTCAAAAATTTCACCATTTAACTACCTGGTTTTCATGAATGTGTTAACTCCATTTGGAAGGCCTAACTCAAATCAGTTTTCTCTATCCTTGCATGATAGTCTAATTGAATTATTTTTATGTTTTTTTCCCAAGTGAAGGCTTCCTGCATTCCCTCTTATCTGACAGTTCATGAAGTAACTACATGGAGGCTTCTTTGAAGGCAAGTCAAGTAAACATAAGTACACAAAAATCTGAATTATTGTCATGTTCTTTTTTCAATGGCAGTACTTATTAAATTTTACAACTAAGCTGACTTCATATGCTCACCAAATTTTTGGCATCACTAAACCCACCTCACTTATTTTTGTAATTGCTAGTCATACATGCCAAGATGCCTTTTTTCTTTAAAAATCAAACAAACATAGTCAACTTTTTCCAAGCCATTTGATGCATCAGCAAAAATATGCTAGATGTAGGGAAATGACTGCAGGTGCTCATTGACTGACCTATCTGGTTGGGTTAATGAAAAGTGATGGTACAAGATGGGGTTTTGCAAGAAGTGCACCCACAGAAGCAGAATTAATTCCATTAACATTTAATGCCAATTAGCAGTTTCCTGCTCTCCAGCAGCAGTCTCCATCATGCATATAAGATCACCTACTATTCAATATGCAATGAGATTTTATGTTTCCACTATGCATTTTCATTCTACTACCTAATTAAGGCTAAATTCTCCAAACATTTCAAGCCCCTTGTGTAATAATCAGAATAAGAACTCCTTTGAAGTTTTGCCCTTAATGTCACAACAGAAGCTGCTGGGTATTGAACGCATCAAAATCTGGTCTCATCCTCTTTGAAAAACCTGACTCCAAATGTCTGTGAAGTGCTTTCATTCAAGAACCAAGTTCTGTGTTTTCTGGTGTGCTGTACAAACCTTTCTCTGGCAAAGCAGTCAAAAGGCTCCACAAGAGAAATTAGACAGAAGAAAAATAAAACCAAATGACACCAAAGCAAGTTACATCTCTCATTCCCATGCATATATTTGATAATTTTAGAGTCCTATAAAATTTGTTTTGCAAAGAAAGAAGATATAGACTAGTACATAAAGGACAAAAGAACCTCATTGCAGGTTTGTAGCCTACTGTGTTGAGGGCATTTCTTATTTCTAGAGGCATTACATCAATGTCATAATTATGAGACAAGTACCCCAGGTGCCCCCTGGCTTGCTGGGTTTATAATTACCTTGCCAATGTAAATCCAGTTTTGGTTACATACTTTGTACTCCTGCAGAGAAGTCTCTTCTGCATGACTCTGTATTTATAGTCTGAAGCTGGAGAAATCTGAAATTATTTTTTTTCTGTTTTGCCAAACTGGAATGATTTTGGAGAACAAAGAAAGTATTTTTGAGAGAATGTGCTCTGAAAGACAATGTTTACATCTAGTCATGCTTTAGATTTTGTTGGCAAAACAACTAATTCAGAAGACTAAGTCCTGTAAATATACAACAAGTATTGTTATAGTCTTCCCCTTTCTTTCAGGCATGTTTCACAGCAGAAATTTGGCATGGCTGTGATTCTCTGGACAGTCTTCCATGCAAGGAGGTGGTTCTTTAGCACTTAGCTGTTTCTAAAATTTAAAGCTTAGAGGAATCTCACTGATTCACAACTGATCTAAGACAATTACAAAGGCTTTACAAAAATTTAAAGACTTGTATCTACAGCTCTGGATTTACAGAGAAAACAGCTGACAACAAACAAAACCTTTATGTAGTCTCCAATGTAGGACAATGGAGCATTTACTAAGTTGAGTCAACCACAGGAACAGGAGCATCCAGCTCTAGAAAAGTTTTGGAAAAGAGCAGTTTGCAGTTTGGTTCTTCTTACAATTCACTTTTCTCTGAGAATTTCCCTTGAGAATTTGACTGAAGACTTTAGCCACAGGCTGGTATTACAAGCAGTTTAGTAGAGCAGTAAATTAAAAACACGAGGTCAGGAGCCTAAACAGCAAACCAGAACCATGTATTTTTCCTGTCTAGGCAAAAGATAAGCTGGATCTTGGTGCAACCCATTTCGGTATATTCAGGGCTTAATGACTATTCCTTTGGGCTTTTCTCTTAGCTAAGCTTTGAAAACAAACATTATATGAGCGAGAAGAGATCTAATTCTTGACACCCCTCCCAGCAGCAACACTACTGCATTGCATTTTAATGCTTTTTCCACTGGACCACAGATAAACTCTCTACTCCTTATTCCCTTATCTTACGCCATCTAACAGGGATCTCACTTTATACTAAACTGAAACAAAGCTTTTCCTTTATCCACAGGCTGTTCTCCTCTGCTGTGCCACCAGTCCAACTGGCTCAATTATCTCCTAAACACAAACTTCCAGCCTGGCTCTTAACCCTGCCTGACACTTTCTGCTGTGTCCCCCAGCTACCAGCCAAGGGACAATGTAATGCAGGGAAAGATGAACTGACCCCTCTCAGACTCCCGATCTACTCTGCCTCTTATCAGCTTACCTTTTTTCTCCCCTTTCTGCTCTGCCTTGCCTATATCCCTCCACACAGTGTCCAAATAAAAATCCCAGACAAGTCAGACTGGTTTATTTATTAGGCAGTCAAGTATCTCAAATCATAGCAATATAAAATTAAAAGTTGCATGTTGAAATTATGGCCTCTGGGTTTATAATTTTTCTCAAAACAATTCCACTTTCCAGACAGGGTAAGAAAGTCAGCAGCAGGAGTGAAGTCTGAAAACACAAGCCATTAAATATTACATTAAATGCTAAAAATAAATATGGGTAACATCAGGTTACCATAAGGCCTTTCTTTTTTCTGACCTAGTTATCTCAGCCACTCCTAGACTAACTAAAAGTTTAATTCCTAGTGTGAAGTATGTGCTGATGCATTTCATCTTGGAACTTGTCAGGCAGATTTGGCTCTTCTGGTCAGATGCAAACCTTGGAGACTTCCAACTGTACAAATCATTCCAAATTCCCAGTATAAACAATGTTTTTTCCAGCTGTGGGCTTAAGGAAACCTGCAGAAAACCCCTCAAAACTCAGTGTGTTTTTCAGCACAGCAGTGCTTGTGAGAAGATGCCCTAGCATGCACAAGCAGAAGAAATAATAGTGCTTAAAATGAGAAATATTTAGCAAACTTATTCATTCTTGCGGTGTCAAAATAACACTTTTTTCTGGCTGGGGAGCAAGGAATCTGTTTTATCATGACAAGTTAATTTGGATATCATGCACTCTTTATCATCATGGGGAGTACCAAAAGGCGGCCAGTTCCTGCGGATCAATTCTTCAAGCAAGATTAGCTAGAACTGCTGTGATGGATATAAAAATGAATTATAATCAATGTACTGCCCACTTCTGCCACCTTAACTGAGATTAATGACTAAGCAACGATTATTTCAAAGAGTACATAATTCATTTGAATGTTCTTGGTTATTTTAAGAGCTCTATATGGAAATTTAGTACATGACAGAGTTTGCAAAGAAACAGCATTATGGTATACATTTATTTTACTAATTCCAGAATAAATCAGTCTACAGATGGAATGCAGTCAGGTGATGTGTTCAAAAGCATCTCTTGCATGGCCTTCTACAGCCTTTTACCAGCAAAGAGTGTGCTGAGAGGAAGACAGTGATGGGTCTGGGTGACCAGCAAGGTAGAACCTTTCTAAATGCCAAACTAATCAAATGAATACTAACTTGGTAGCACACTTCACAGAAAATAATAGTTATGAGATTATCCTTTTTACAGGATAGAGAATTCCTGTTACCTGCTCCAACACTGTAGGCAGTTAGTAAACATGCTGTCCATAATCACAAGAGTCTGGGGAATTCAAGGTGGAGAGCTCAGATGCAAAGAGACACAATCCCCAGGCCTGCAGTGACTCCAGCTAAGTATTATGATCATAGGGAGTACATATTTGCCTGAGAGTTGTCACTGTGGAGCAGACTCCCATGTCAAAGGGTTGGATAGAGAAGGGACATCAGGTATAAAGACTGAAGACTTTTTTCCCCTCTGAATTTTTCACACAGAATCCTTGCTCCATTCTATTTATGATTGCAAGTAAATGCATGTAACAGGATAGTCTAATATGAATGGTTTTCACTTTAAAATATAAGAAATCTATCTGCTTTTTTTATTTGTATTGTTAGGATAGTTAGTATATTAAATGTACAAACGAAAAAGCTAGGATATATGGCAGTGTTCTGACACACAGTCAGGGTACAGGAGATGCCGGAGAAAAGTTAGTATGATTTGATTTCAGGCTTTTAAAAACAAGCCCAGTGACAGGAAGGAACTTTTACATTGTTTTCCCATCATCTCTAAGGGAAACATTAAATACATGTGCTAGTTTCTTAAATTATTTCAAGGAAACAAAATCACATGTTCTTGCTAAAAGCTTGACAGTAGAGTACAATAGATGTACTCAGACATGAGGAGCCTGTAAATTCTGCAAACCATCACATCCTGATAGATGTTTCTGGGCAAACAGCCACAAGAAGAAATGGGATTTTTCACTGATAGCATCTGTCAACAGAGAAGAACAGTAATCATGTGGCTCATGATTAAATTTAAATATAAATATAATGGATGAAATCCACTGTAATTACTGTGTAGCTAGAAGGATTTACACAAGTATGATTCTAGGTGATTTAACACAGCAGCACAGAACTCTCTCGGAAAATTCAGTTTCCATTCTCAGGGCATGATATATAAATGGAGTAGTACCTGCTTCTGCTGCTGCAGTAATTCTGCGGTCTGCAGCTGTGGTCCATGATCAGTGCTGTCCGGGGTGGGATGCTGGGAGAAATCTGTCAGCGCAAACACAACGTCTTCTTCCTCCTCCTCTCGCTCTGCATCATTTGCCTTCTGCTCAGACGGAATGCCAAAGTCTGGGAGGGCCTCAGGGTGCTCAATCTAGAATGAAAGAGGGAACACAGGAACACGCTTTTGCCATTTACCTCTGGGGCCAGAAATCTACTGAAGGACTAAGGGAAGGGACTGCATCTCTGTGGTGGCATATACTGAGTTCAACTCAGGCCACAGAACTGATCTTTGGGTGGTACATCACCTACTGCATATGTGAATACATCACTATGCAGCCCTGCAACAAAGGGAATTTATGCAACTGAGATGGGTCCAATGTCACATGATGGATATAATCTATCACACATTAATCAAGAACTGTACAAGGCACCGGTGTATTGTGCGATGAAGTAATGGAGATTAGGAAGTATCCAAATCTATCATTTTATATTATGCAAAGCATGTGCAAAACATGGCTCCAATAAAGCTGGGCTGGTAATAAATTAACCAGTCAAAAAATTCAAACAATCAAGAAATGAAAGATTTTTGGTATTAGAAGATGAGCTAATTTACACAGAAGCAAATTAACATAGCTGAAGTAAAGTAGAAGCAAATTATTTCTAAATAGCTACTCATCTCTTGTTTCTGACTCATATTACCACCACAGATGAATCAAAGATGTTCATCCACCCTTTATCTAAGAATACAAACATTGGAGTATTCAGTTTAAGCACACTCTGACCAGACCTGAAAGGTTACTTGTACTGCCAAATGCAGCAAACTTTGAAAAACACTAGGTATAAAAGGACCAGAAATACTGAGAAAAATTACTTTGCTGCTTACCAGATGGCTTCAGAATTGCATGAACCTGCAAAACAAATCTATTGTTCTCAAGAATTTAGTATAAAATGTCAGAATGGGAAAACATTTTAGTTTTTTTCTTTAGCTAAGAAGCAAATGGTAATTCTAGGTGTGCAACTCAACACTTCCTCCACAGTGCATGTTGGCTGGTAACCACACCCCTGCTGAGATGTGTCAGCTTGGGGATTCCAGGTTGTTAGGTACTTCTGAAATTCCTGATCTTGATTTAGCCTCTACTTAGAAAAGCACCATGATGACGACTGGTGTATTGCTGCTGACGGTGACAGACGTGTGTATGGAGAAGGGGAACAAATGAGGATGATTCACTGTAAGTTCCCACATGAAGCTGTGTAATTCTCCTGCCAGCACAGAAACAGAGCTTCCCTCCATCTGTATTGCTGAAGGCTTTGTAAGGAACACACGGTGCACAGGATGAGAAAAACAACAGCACTCAATCCATCTAAACAGATTTGACTCCCTCACCTTGCTAATGTGCGTTTTTTTCTTTCAAAAAATTACTCAAGAGTCATATCTTTGAGACCTAATTAATTTTTCCTTTACTGTGTGAGTATTTCAGGACCAGCTGTTTGTACTAGTTAAGGTTTTAGCTTTAAAGATGGGTGATCTGTAACACAACATGCAGAATCTACTTCAGCACAAGCCAACAGCAGCTTTTTCATGTTTAATTTGAATCCCCTTTCAATATATGTGCTATTTAAAAGTTGCTGGTGCCACATCATATTTCAGGTCTACACTTAAAGAAGGGACATCCCAGTACTCATCTGGGTTATTAAGGTAGGACAGTTACCTCTAATGTGTCCTCCCCTTCCTCCTCCATTCGCTTGCCTTGCCGCCAGTGTTTCAGCAGCCACTTCAATTTGACATACAGGAGAAAGGTGTCCTGCTTGAAACGCCTGAGTTCCTGCTGCAGCAGATTTTTCTCCTGACTCCAGGTCTTCTCCTCCAGTTTGTTCTGCAAAGTCAAACTCTGCACTTCCAAGTCTTTTCTCCGCAGGGTCTGCATATGCTCCTCCTCCAGCTTTAATGGAATAACAGGCAACATGTCAACAGGGGGGCAGTCTCCAGGACTTGTACTTCACTGGGTGAGACAAACTGAAATCTCTAATTTTCATCAGTAGCGAGCAGCTATTGAGTTTGGCTCAATAAATTCTTCAGCAGTTATGACTGCTGAGGAAATTAGAGGATAGCAGATGATAAGCTTTTCTTAGATAACCACATGAAAGTAACCTGCTGTGGAAGTGGATATTTACTTCAAAGATGCAAAGACCTCTGAAACTGGTTAAACATTTTACACCACTCATATTTTCCTCCCTCTCTTGATTGTATCTCTGCAGTAGGTTCCCAGCAGAGCCACCAGCCCACACTGCTGCACATATCACACCTATTAAATGCATTTGCAGCCATTTGTACAAGGTGGGACCACAGCTGCCCTTCAGACAACCTGGAATATTTGCCTTGCAACTTCCTCCCATAGGCACAGTTTCAATCTACCCACAGTTGTTACGTCTCCCTCTGCCTCTGGAAGGGCAACACTTCTGAAGAAAACTCCTCCAGTACCTCAGATACCACTATTGACTCCTCACTCCTTGCAGTTCATACTTGAAGGCATCGGAATGATACCACAGTAAACAGTCTCTCATTCTGGCATGAATTTATCTGGGACACAAGCAGGAACTGAAGAGACAGGAACAGATTGCAACTCAGCATATGAAATGTCTCAGCCTTAGTACTAAAATCACCAAGAAAAGCTCATTCTTTAGAGGACATGTACAACTACACCAGTTTCACTGCAAGGCCACCTGAAACATCATTCTTTAAATGTGATCTCTCCCTCAATGTTTTATATATTATATATATTAAATCAAACCGTGGCATGACCTACACCCAACAGAACTTGTACAAGTTAGTTGTACAATATCTCATATTGTGCATAGGTGAGAAAGTATTTCCATTTCAACCAAGCTGTGGCTTCTTCATAGATGAAGAAAATGCAGATGGAAAATCAGTACAGAGTAACTGATAACAGGTGACAGTTCCTATTTTCCATTCTGCAGAACACAGCCTCTCCTTTTCTTGACCAGCTCCACAGATAAAATCTATGAAAGCCACAGTACACTTATGACCACAACAATCCGAACCATCGGAACACACTCTGCAACAAGCAATGCTCACATAAGAATAAAGAATGTTTCAGGGATTAGGGCTCCCTAGCAATAAATACTGCTAAGAAATTTATGTTTGATTTTCATGGCAACATTCACATGCTTCTGAAACAGGCTACCAGTCTACATGAGATAGTTTCCTAAGGACTTGCCTGCCATCTAAATGATGTCCTCCAGCATAATGCAAATTTTTAGCATCTATGCTACTATGCCTTAAAAAGTTCCTGATTAAATTGAAGTTATTTACAGTAGTGGCTAGCTTAAATGTGTTTAAAATGAAGCTTAAAAGCAGTCTGGAACAAAATCAGCTATAATGGCTCCAAGAAACATACACACAACTCCTAATAACACTCATGGAGATAGTACACTGCTAGCACACATCAATTTGATGTCATTAAACATTCCTAAAAATGAAAAAGTAAAAGAAGGGCTGATTTTAAATTTAGTTTTTATGGGAAGAAAGAAGTAGATTTGATGTTGATGACTATTCTCCTATCAAATAAAGTTATGGTTAAATACAGCAAAAATCTGAGTAATTTCCACCAGAAATCCTGGAGGATGATAAAAAAAGGAACATTATCAACAGAACACGCATAATCTGGAAAAAAATTAAGAACCCAGAAGATGCTTTTATTCTTCTATTTCTTCTGGCTATCAACATAAACAGCTAGCTTTGATTTTGGTGCATTTTTCATCATTTTGACAAGCTGTTGTATTTCAAATCCCTGTAGCCATGAATTCTAGACTAGAAGACCCTAGTGGAGGTAGATTTGTAGAATGTTATTATTTTTCAGTGGATAGCAATTGCAAAATAAAAGAACTTTAAGAGACAGGCATAGCTTCCAAAAAGCTGTCACAGCTGAGGCAACTAGGAAGGAAATCAATTGACTGGTTGCCTTCAAAAGATCCAGTGGAAAACTCCTGTGGAGATCAACTGGAAATTAAAGCTAGTTATGAGAGATACCACTTGGGCATAAAGAGATTAGTTGGCACAAGAAAAAAATCTTTACAGTATGCAACAATTATGCAGAATTTAGTCCATGAAGTAAATTTAAAAAGAAAACTTTAGTTAAGAGCCAAACAGCCTGCAGAAATTAGCAAGTTTTTTTTGCTCTAGGAGCTAGAGATCACAAAATGATTGACTAATCTGTTCCAGCCTTCAAAAGAGCAGGGGGAGCTCATGTAAAAAAAAATTATTTATTCACCATCTATTAATAAGAAGATTTGAAGCACTGAGTACTGAGAAATACAAGAATGAATGTCCTGATTTGTTTCTCAGCTATGTGTGCATAGCAACTCCTCTGACTTCAGAGAGGTGCTGGATTTTCTTTTGGCTAGGAGGAGTCAGAATAAGGTATGGAGCCGAACTGAGCTCCCAGGGATCAAACACACACTTCCCCAGGTCACAGAGAGCTGAAGGGTGACAGGCTTCACCATGCAGTATTTCATGACTCTACCATGATTTCCCCTGAAGAGGGAAGGACAAAATTTCTCTCCCCCAAGCAGGGAAGCCATATTCGCAGTGGCAAAATGGGCTTGAGTTTAGATTTCCCTGGATTCCAGATTCTTCATTTACTCAGAGGAGGTCACACAGGCACAGCCATCAGGACACAAGTTCCCACAGTCGTGACAAACAAGGCTCACGTCACACATCATGGTCACGCATCTCTCCCAGGTGGGTTTTGTATTTACCTGGATGATCCTTTCTGTAAACTTCTCTTGCTCCTCTCGGTGAACTCTTGTCTCCTGCTCAAGCTGAGCCTGAAGCTCCTGTATCGATACATTCTGTACAGGTAAAACATGGGAATCCCTGAGCTGATCAGCAGGACAAAGGGAAAGGTTTAGCAGAAAATGTGTCTCGGAGGTGTAAAAAAAACGAAAAAGAGCCGCAGGACAGACATCTGCACAACCCAAGATTATCAATAGTTAAAACCAAAGCACAGTGTGCAAATAAATAACAATGTCCTAAATCTGTGTGGGAATTTCCTGTGTGCCTTCTTCTGGAAACTAAAGCTTGAATGCCGATGTTACATATTGGATATTCTCTTCAGGCCTCTGCTCTGGGCTTGGACTTGAAGAGCTGAGACTTCTGTTTGCAGGATTACATATTTGGTGATGCATTTCTTCATCATAATCAAAGCTTTAAAATTTTAACACCTCTGCACAAGATTAATCTAGTGCATGCATATTGAACGTGACTATTCATTTGCAACAGTTTTGATAGGGCAGTTAATAGGATAGCAATTATTAAATCAAGTATACATAAGATCCCTTTCTTCAGATACAAGACAGTTCTTTGCACAAGTCAACTTCATTCTGTGATTTCTACACAAAATAATTACAAAAAAATGCCACAGTGATAAGCTGTGTGAGCCTGAGATCTGACCAAAATAATTAAGTATCCTCCCTTTCAGGCCCAATACTATTTTAATCTTAATACCTTCAATTTGATATTCTCATTAGGTTTGGCATCCCATCAAGTTTGCTCCTGAAAGTTACTTAACTCAAAAATAAAGACCTAAGAAGGCAGTCAGATCTCATTGTTGATACTATAGTAATGAATCCTGTGGCACTTATATTTCTGATCAGAATTTTCAGTGTCCTTCACTTTGTGTCTCTCACATTGGTGCCAAAACTGATTTATCTGTACAAAAGTGATGCTCAGCTGGATGCCATCCTCTTCACGTGTGTGAACACAGAAAGCACTACAGCACCAAACTCCTTCCCATAGCAAAAATGTACTTAAAGACAGGATTGCTTCAGGCTTCAAAGTGTAATCCCAAATTCTCAGCTGGCCCACGTTGTACGTGCTCCAACCTCAGCAGCTGCAAGGACATAACAAAGGTCATGGGATCCCCTCTAGGGCTGTGTTGCCATTTCCCTTCTGGTATCAGCCCCTGCATCCACCTCCTTGCCACTCCTCCCAATTTTCAGAGAAAAGCCAGCAGCTGCTGCTGTTCAGGCCACGCAGCCCTTGTTGGAACATTTTGGTTATTCAAAATGTAGTTCTCCCTGGAAAAGACATTCCTCACCCCTCCTCTAGGGAAAAATGAGATAAGGCAAATGGTAGTATCCCAAAAACAACCTGCAGGACCACACTCTGCTGAAAATCAAAAGTGGACCTACATAGACTTTCTTGGCCCTATCAGTGCTGTTTTTACTTGAGTCATTTATTGACTTGTGCATGTCTATTTTGTACCTGAGGAAAAGACACTTCCATCCCTCTGAAAGATAAAGTGACTAAGAGAACATTACCTGCCTTATCAATTTAATCTGTCTCTGTAATGTGTCTGCAGACATTTTGTAGTGAATAAGGTCAAAATTTGGATTTGAAAAGAATTGCTTGTGATGCAATTTGTCAATTTTGCATAATAATTTGTAAATTCTTAATTTAATTCTCTCATGCAATAAAGGAAAAATACTTTCATCAGGAATTTCTGCACTATTTTATTCTGATCAAGATTCTTTAGGAATATGGCAAACAAAAACCAATGTATCAGTTCATTAATGCATAATTTAAAAAAAAATCTGTTAATCCCTTTATGGATTCAAAATTATTAACCCATCCAATTTTATTTTATAAATATGTAGCCCATGCAAAGCCAAATTTCAGGAAACTTCACTGCTAGGATTATGTGGGATCTGTTGGAATTTCTAAAAAGAAATTAAATATATCATAAAGGCAGATGCAGTATAACATGCACACTAAGTCAAAATCATATCACAACTGCTTTGCCCCTTTAAGGACAATACATTTTTGTAAGTCCTAAAGTAAATTTAAGTTGAAAAGCAGCTAGTGCATAAATGCAGAGTTGCACACTTTATTCCCTTCCAATGCAACCTGAGAACTCTTCATAGTCTATAATAATATATAATATAATTTCTACCAGAAATGTTAGGATATCTCAACTGCTCAAATCAGGGGAGGTAAAGCTGCTTAAGTGCATAATAGATTGCTGCTAAACAATCTATTAGGATCATGAATGAATAATATTATAAATGTATCATGAATGAATAATACTTATAAATGTATCATGTAATATTTGTGTATGCAGTTCAAGCACTTGATACTGCACTGATAGATGTCTGGATGTTTATATGTGGAAATCAGTCCCCTATCATAAAACCAGCAGGCTGTAGTCTGTGGCACAACTGTGGTTTTGTTTTGTTTTGAAAAGGGACATTACTACAAAATGGTCACAACAGTTGAAAACCTGTTACATTCCATTGTTTGTTTCCTTTGTTCTCATTAAGGAGTGCACTACATGAGGAACAGAAGACATCCTGAATACGACAGCCACTGCACAACATGCTGACATCACAGAGCAGACACAAACTCTCTACAACAAGACGTACAAACACAGTACCATGGGAACTATGAGCAAGTGCTACTCTACCACAGCACCACGGAAACAGCTGCACTTCATCCACAGCTCAACACCGACTAACAACTTCCCATGTATCCCAGTTATTGCATTACCAGACACACTTCCACTCCTGTCCCCTCAGACAGGCACTGCCAAATCCTTCTGCTCAGTCCTTTTATCTCACCTGTTATCACTCCAGAACAAGCTAATCCATGCTGATGTCTTTACCTCAAGAAGATGCACAAAGAAAAGTCATCCTGGGGACTTCACCACCACTGTCTCACAGTACAGACCCCTTTCCCCCCCCTCAGAGTGCTGGCAGCTTTTTAGGTTACTTTGCAGCTCACACAGTCCCACATATCTGCCATGACTTGTTTTTACAAGATTGCCATCCAAGACAAGCTATGGCTGGGTTTTATTTGTCTGCTTTCTCCATTTTACCGGAGCTAATTGCAACCTCAATTCGCCTGCAAACTTAATCAATTTATATGTAACAACCGTGAACATGAAATTTCATGGACTCTTTCTCTTAAGCTTCTTTTTTTCCCCCCCCAGAAATGATCAAACAAAATAAGGCCTGAGGAGGCAGGGTAGAATGATGCTTTCCAGCATTTGCATGCAATTCAAAGCAAGCCAAAATAAATGTTTTATGCTGCTCCTCTAAAGCTACATTATCATGCTTTGATATTTGGACCTTACATTTGAACACATAATTTAAAAATTGCTACTTTTTCACAGATTGACAGCTGGCCATTGCATGTGTCAGAAAGAAAGTTCCAGTGCCTTTTGTTATACTTTTTGCATGCAATTCACATCTAACTGAACTCGCAGAGGTTGCTTCTGAAGATGTACTTTTCTTCTCATCCCTTAAAAAAATAGATGACATATATTTCATTTGCTAGTGTAGAATAGGCAGCTGTGTGGTTATTTGTCTGTGCTTATATGAAAAATCTCTGAGTTTGGGAAAACACAGAACACTTCACTCCAAGTCTTTAAAAATCCATCTCATTGTATGGACAGTATACAAAGTCTCACCAAGTTCAGTTAGGACTCAAATATCCACATTTACATCATAAAGGGTCTTTTAAGCCATTACACTGTCAACCTCTACAGAATCTTACATAGCAAGAAAGAATACAATACATCAAAGTAAATTATTCTTGCATCCCCTAATCTTGGTGGGAAGGAATAATCACAGCATAAGTTTATCTTTCTTCTTCCCACAGCTTTGCACTGGAGGAATATTGGACATAAGACATACAACTTTCTATGTGGTTCTTGGTTGTTGTTGTTGGGTTTTTTTTGCTTTTTTTACCAGAAGAAAGAAAGTCAATGTGTAAACCGTTCACTGTTGCCTTTCTGGAAAAACAAAACATTTAACCAGAGAAATGCATGTGCAAATGTTCAACACATGGCTGGGAGCTGCTGCAAAAACCATCCAGCTGAAAAACACTCACATGGAGTTATGAAAATTGCACAGAAACAGCACCAGTTAAAAAACAGAACTGTCAAAATATAGATCAAAATATCCTCATCCATCTCCTCCAAAATTCATACATACAGAAGTTTTGATTCAAAGCAGGTGGTAAATTGACTTACCTAATTTGCACATCACTGTATTTGGTTGGTCCACACTTAACCCAGTAATCAACTTAGAGTTATACATTCCTTATTGGCATGATAAGTAAGGAAAGTGAATAAACATACTAAAAGTAGTTTAGAATAAATTACTTTATGCTATTTCTATTTTTATTACTAGACCTCGTGGAAAACTTGTTGTTTAAGACACGCTCTCACCTTCTCCAGCCTATCTGCTTTTATTTTAAATCTCTGGTCACAATTCACTCCTTTTACATGAATTCTCTTCATTGGTTCTTTTTACATAACCTATGAGTGTCAGAGATTTTATGGTATTTTTCTACACAGAAGTAAATGTGTAAGTCTTTAAAAGACATGTATAAAAATAATCAAAATCTGAAATGTAAAGTGCTTTTGCCTTTGATATACACTCGATCAGGAAAAGGCAGAACTGAGATCCTCTGAAGGACTAGAACTAGGAGATACAACTCCAATTTAGAGCACCCAGTATCAAATGTACCAAGCCATATCTGGTCATTTGAAAGACTGAAATCTTTCTTCTTCTAAATGTCTTCTTGCTTCTGAATAAACAGTCAGAGATTGCGTGAGGAAAATGCCTTTCATTTATGAATATTCCATTAGCAGAAATCAGCAGGTGAAAAATTATTTACTGTTTTTTCCATTGGTTGCCATTTTGTTGCCATATTTGCTCTATGTTACCTCTTTTTGGCTCTGCTGTTTGTTTTAGTGAGGGAAATTCTTACTAGTTCATGTGCTTTTTCCTTGGATAGTAAAGAATGATTTCCCCATCCCACCACAACAGAGCTCTGCTAAAATAATGAATAATGGATGGAACATCCACCCCAATGGGCTCCAGCCTCCCACAACAGCAGCTGAAAGGCTTGTTTCAGCAAGAAAACAAAGCCCTGCTCTTAAGGCAATTTCAAGATATAATTTCCCTTGGACTGGGACATTAATGCAGCTCTTTAACACGCAAATACATTCTAATAATCCTGCACTAACAACTAAAGTGCAAAGCCCAAACAACGGCACATGTTTACAGTTAAGCCACAGGGTAGTTTCAAGCACATGTCTGTCTGCATTTATTGTATTTAATAAAACAACTAAGCTCCCATGGTGCTAATTTTTAAAAATAGAAGGAATCACTAAATTGAAGATCTTCAGCATTGTTTGTAAAAATTTTAATTTAAAATTCAGCTTGGAAAAAAGTAAATTTAGATAAATGGGCTAGCTTGAATAAAAAGAAAACCTTTTCCTTAGTGAAATGAAAGGCAAGTGCATGTATTTTCACTTCTTAAGTAAAAACAGATAAAGAGTCATGTGTAGTCATACCCACTGTGGGCATTAAAAAGTTTGAGTCTCCATTTGGAATTTCTGTGATAATAAAAAGATACCTTTGGTATTTCAATAGTATTCTTTTCTGCTCATTTATCTGGACCAAAAGAAAAATAG